CTCTCCCCCATCCCACTGAGGGAGGGGGGACTGAGCGAGCGGCTGCGTGGTGCTGAGTTGCCAGCCGGGTTAAACCACGACACACCCCCCAGACCCGCTGGCTTCCCCCCAGCCTCACCTGTAGCCAGCCAGGATGTTCATGAGCGTGGACTTCCCAGCACCCGAGGGCCCCATGATCCCAATGAGCTCCCGCTGGCAGAACTTCCCGGACAGGCATTTGAGGAGAGTCTTGTACCCTGAAGGGAGAGCAGCATGGGTTCAGCTTTCAAGAGCAGCAGCACTACAAGAACCACGATGCCATCCCAGCACCTGGGGGACCTCGGGACCTCCATATATCGTGTCAGGGGCTGCATGTGCCTGGAGACTGACTCCACCAGCATCACCAGGGCTGTAGCCACAGCAGTTGTCATTTCCAGCACCATCCCTGAGCCTGGTCCTTGGCTGGCCCCACCAATTTCCAGCACTGAAGAGCCACACGCCCTGGATCACAGCAAAGACCATGGAAATCCCTGGGTCAGGGCACATAGCTGCTAAGGAAGATTACCAGGCTGTGACATTGGTCCTAGGCACATTGTCAGATCCTGGTCCCTAGGGCCAGTGGAGAGGGGCAGCAAGAAGCAGGGTAGCATGGGGCAGGCAGAGTCCCCAAGCCTGCTGGATGCCTGGCTGTTGCCTTCATTGGCATTCATGCTCTGATACCCAGCAGCAGCACTGCTAATCAGACCTGGAATTATCTCTGCTTTAAACGCAGCTGATTAGCATTTTCTGGCAGAAGGAACATGATGTGTTGGGAGTAGGGAACAGGCACAGCCTCAGGCTCTCAGGAGCTGCCCCCAAAACACAGCCCTGGCAGGAGAGCAATGGTATACAGGGTGCTAGGACCATGCTGAACCATAGACCGGGTCTGAGCATCTCCCTGCTGGAAATATGCCTGCCCCCCACATGCCCCATGGTTGCAGCTGGTGCTAGGCAAGGGCAACATGTCCATCTCCTGTCCACAGGCTGGGGCAAGCCTCAGGACCAGACCAGCTTACGGTCCTACTACCACACTAGGGGGGCAGCCCCTCTGGCTTGTCCATCCCCAGGACAGGAGATCTGGCACCACAAGCTCCCAATTCCTCCTCTGCACCCTTCAGAGTCCGGCATCCTGCATCCAGAAGTGGGCCCCACTGGCAGAGGGGCAGCGAGGGCTGGGAGGGAAGGGCAGGGGGCTGTGCATGACGACAGCAGAGCGAGCATGCCCAGCAGCCCCCCCGGCGCATCCCGGCACCACGCACATGGCTCCGGCACCGCGCATGCTGCTCACGTCGGCGCCACTGCAGCTTGCGCAGCGGTTACTTGCGTTCATTGACTGCCAGTAACCTCCTGCTTCAGCAGAGGGGGGTGGCTCGGCCGGACCCTGGGGGCTGTGGCCAAAGGCACCGGGAGCTCCCTGCCAGCTCCTCCACCTGCACCTGGCCTGGGGGAGAGGAGAGTCTCTCCCACTGCCCCCCCGGGGTCTCAGCACCCCTAGACATGCATGCTCCTCTCCGGTCCAGCTGCCCAAGCCTTTCCCCCTTCCCTCCCTGCAGGGCACTGGACCACTGACAAGCAGCCGGTCCCCAGGACTCCTGGGTGCTACAGCACACTCTGCCCTGTGAAGCCCATGGTTGTATTGTGGCTTCTCAGCATCCCAGACAAACAGGCGGACCTCGTGCTGGGGGATGTCAGGGCTGGTCCCGCGGTCTTTCAGTTTCCCTAGCTGCAGAGCGTGGTTGGGGATAGGGTCAGAGGCCTCATCCGGCACTGCTGGCTGGCAGGGCACCCTGCTGTGCAGCCCTGCGCCCTCAGTCTGCTCACCCCAGGCCCCCACACATCCCTGCCTGCCTTCAGCTTCTGCAGATCAGCTCCCCCTCCATCTCATGGGGCTGCCTGATTGGCATCCCATTAACTGAGAGAGCTAATTAAAGCAAACTACCACCTCCCAGCCACCATCTGCCTCCCCTCTCCCCTCCCCAAGCTCTCGGCCAAAGTCACACACAGGAAAGGGGACTGTGGCCTCAGCTGCACAGGGAGCCTCTGGAGAGGAAATCCCCTGCAAATCACACATATTCTCCTTGCCAGGCGCTGAGCTGGGGCACCCCTTGGAGTCTCCTGCTGTTGGCACGTCACACACAGCCATCATACCCCAATGCTGGGGAAACTAATCCATCCTGGCCTCCCCTGAACCAGGAGATCTGCCCCATCTCCCCCATGCAGCCCTGGCTAGAGGTTTCCCTGGGATGCGATCTGCTTTCCTCCAGCACTGCACAGCAGAGGTGCACAGCAACTGCTGCAGGACACGAGCCTGCCCCCCACCTATGGGTGCCCAGCAAGGACAGCCAGCCACAGAATGGCTGCAAACAGCACCTGGCACTCAGACAGACCACAGGGCCGGACAGCCCGACCACCCAGCCAGCACCCGCGGCCACAAGGGACAGCAGGGCGAGCGCAGGGTGAGCAGCTCTAGCATCTCCCGCTGTGGCTCCCTGTGTGCAGCCCTGCTGCCACGCGCTGAGGCAAGCTTCCGCCGGCAGGCAGAGGCTGGGGCTGCCTGGAGCAGGAATTGACAGAGAAGCAATGAATCCAGCACAGAGGGAGATGCTGGAGACCTGGGTGAAATCAAGGCATAGAGAATGGGAGAGGGGTGCAATAGCCCTGCAGGTCTCCTCCCCTGCCCTTCCCCAGCCAGCAGCTCCTACCTCTCTTCCTCCACCAGGAGCCTTCCCGCACAGAGTAGGACAGGTCAATGAACTCAATGTTGACAGCCGAGCGCTTTGGGAGGTGGGAAAACCTCTGGGCCTCTGTGATGTGGTTCTCCACCTTCTTCAAGTGGGTGGTGAGGAGCGGGGCATCTGGGGGGCTGGCATGGCACACCGTGTCCTCAAGGGCAATGGAGACACACGCGGGATCCATACCCTTCTCTGCCATCCTGCTGCTCTGTAGAAAAAGCACAGGGATCAACTCACAGCGGGCCAGGGACCAGCCCACAACA